TTGATAAAAATTCACAAATTGATATTTATATTTAATTAGCATAAAATTGTTATACAAAAAATAAACTGAACTATAAAATTATACTCAATTAAGTAGTAAAAAAATATAAAACATTTTTTAGTTAATTATAATTGGGTATGAAATTAAATTTTAGGCTAATTTACTTGTATATATAAAAAGTTATATATGAATAAATGCTCGATTGCATGAAGATTTAAAATAAATCTGAGAATATAACACTACCTACATTTTGTTTAGGAAAATCTGTTTAGGAAAAATTAGGTTCAAAAGTATGTTGAAAATTCTATATGAGCAAAACTATAGAATTATGAATGTTTGATAGGGCTTAAATATTTTTTAAAACTGGTTTGTAATGCCAAAACTTTTTATAATAATTTAAAATATTTGCATAATTTTTCTTTTCCATTGCAATTATAAATTTTTTATTATTTTCTTCTTATATTTCAGTTTTATTTATTTTTCTATGAATTGAATCAGCAAAATGCGAAAGATATTCATAATGCGGAAAATTGATTTGTTCTCTTAAAATTCTCCACTAGAATTTTGGTATTTTATTCACTAATTTTTAAGTTAAAAGCTCATTTTTAAGTTAGATAGATTAATTTTAAATTTTTCAACATTTCTGCAATGTTTTCTGTTCTTTTATTTAACAGGAGCTCGAATTTATTGCATAAACATATAGTCCCAAATTTATAATCATAAAGCTTGTAATGGTAGTATCAATGAATTAATATTGTACTGTCAAAACATAAACCATTTCCAACTACTTAATCACAATTCAATACAAATTACCAAAACACTATAAAAATTAAATTATTACTTAATTCATGTAATTTTAATTACATCCACAATAATTGTTTTTTTACCAAATTATTATTGTTGTTACCAATTTAAAGTTTGATATGAAAAATTCGGTGAACGGATTTTTGTGACAACTGCTTTCTAAATCTACATAATTAATTGTTAGTACATTTGAAATATCTAAGATTTTTGAAATTATTTTGTACATTATATAAGAAATAACTTTTTTAAATTAATTTTGTGCGAAATAAAAATATTTCATAAATTGTTTTTTAATATTTTGTCCATTTTCAGCTCATAAAAAGCTTCGAATAATTTTACAATTCTTTCAATTCAAAAATAACATTTTTTTAGTTTCTTCTAGTTAAAAAATTAATAAATTATGTTAGAATTTTTTTTTAAATTAAAATAATTCGCGTTTTATATTTTTTTCCAAATTAAGTTTTCTATTTAAAATTAAATTTAAACTTTTTGTTTGATATTGATAAATAAATGGTTATCAACCAACAATAGCAATATGAAAAAATCACCATATTCACTGTTGCTAAGGTCTTAATAAATAGAATGAACCATTTAAATTAAAAGAGTAGAGTTGGTAATGATTGTAAATGAAGTACTTTTTTGTATAGGCAGATTCTATTATACGGGATTTAAAATTAATCTTAAAATTTAGTTATCAAGTAATTGACACTAATTTTTTATTTAAAAATTTAAAGCCATATCTATTTGGATAAATATGTATATTACCACTTCTGCAAGATATACTATTTTTTGACATTGATTCGGTATAGTTTAAGTAGTATTTTGAATTTGGATTGTTGTATAAGTGGAAAAGAATTGTGGAAAAGAATATAACCAACGTTTGGTTAACATCTTTAACATAAGCGGACATTTTTGTTGCACAAAACGTATAGTTTATAGAGTGTAGTAAATTTTATTCAATTTATAATAACTAAGAATTTAGAAATGGGATAGTTTGGTCATGTTAATATCATTTGAAAATTGAGATAGCTTCTTTCTATAAAATTCGAAACTTGGGATTGAAATAACGGTAAAATATTTTCAAAATGACAATTTTTACCATACTCCGATAATTTTTTGTGAATTATGGAAATTAATTTTTAAGGTGTAGAAATATTAACAACAGAAATTTTAAAACTATCCATGTTACATTAATTATGAATAGAATTTTAAAATTTATGGAAACAACAATAATTGCCTTATCTATATTATGTAGATATACATACTGAGTAGTAAGTACATAAAATCCGATAAATGTTGTCATGCGATCATTTAAGTTCCATATGTAAAATGTGGAAAGTTTATTGAACTTTGAAATATTGTTTTAGATAATGATTAATAATTTAAAATTTCGTAAAAAAGGTCTAGAATGTAACAACATGGTTTTCATTAGAAATATATTAATCAATATTTTTCCATTTATATACTTTTGCACGTACAAAAGTATTAAATTGAATTGACAAAAGTTTTGACAAAAGTTTTTAAAACAATTTCTTTATATAAAGTTTGTTTTGCTTGATAACTTTTTTGAAAAAAATTCATAAAAAATAAAAGATTTTTAAAAAATTTCCACGATTCTAAAAATGGGCTTACCAATTACGTTAACCATTATTTTTAAGAATTTTATTGTAATGTTCACCCAATATTTTTCAGAAATTTCATAATACTCGACTATAACAAATATAGAACTATAAGTTGTTTCCAATTAAATATTTCAGGGTTAAAACACTTAATTTTAATTTTAAGTATGTTTTTCAAAATATTTGCATGTATTTAGGCTTAAGTAAGTTTTTTTAATTTTTACCTTCTTCAACAATAAATTTATAATAACATGGTGTTTAATATGGCATGAGCTATTAAAGAATAAAAGCTTTAATTTAAATTTTTTTGTAAATTATAACAAATCAGTTTTAATATTTGGCAGTTGCACAATTATGCTGTATATTGGCTGCTCTAAACATCCTATTGCCACAAGAAATTTTTTGGCACAATAAAATATAAGCATTATAAACGAAATATAAAAAAAATCTATTACACCTTAAAATTGATGCTGTAACAGTCTTTTAACTTACATGAACAATTGTACACTCTTTTTACTTACATTCACTGTGGCATCTATTAATCCATAAATGAGGCGCTTAGCGCATTTGTGACCTATCCAACATTTTTGCCAAATTGTTATCTTCAACAGAATTGTAATGGTTTAAAGAATTGTTCAATATTTTCAAATTACTTAGTTTACCCTTCTTTCCACTCTATTTTATCACTCTTAAAAACTAAATATTTAAAACATTTCAATGAAATGAACGCCTCAAATGTAATTGTCCGTTTATTTTATGTTATTTTACAATAAAAAGGAATAAATTCAAAAACAGGCTTTAGTTATAAGAATTAGTGGCGGATATTAAAAAAAAAAAAGAGGTGAGAAAAAAATAAAAATTCGAACAAAAATGTCTTATGAATTATAAAGCATTAAAATATTCTTATTGTTAATATGGCTAATCTTAATGATAATCAATCAAATTAAAGTCCTTGTTGTAGTGTCCATGACATAAATAACTTATATTTTGTCTCGTTGAACGTGTTATGTGTAAGTGATAACGCATATTATATTATAAAAGCGTAACTATATAAACATTTATACAGTTATTTTTTTTAGCTAAAATTATTTTTGTTAAAATGTTATAGATTTTAATTTTTAGATTACTTAACTACATTACGATAGTTTTATCATTAATATTGGTTTTTAATTGCTTTCAATCATATTATTATACAAATAATGATATTAACTATATGAAAATTTTTTGTAATTACTTAAATTTATATTATTTAACAAAAGGAATTACTGTATCAATGATAAGTTTGTTTTGTTCCGCCTAGAAGTTTTCCCGCGAGAGAAATTTATTATGTAAAAATTGTACGTTCTTATATTATAAAACAAACAATTATTTTTGTTACTAATTTGTTGTTACATAATATATTAATTTTATTAGATTATATAAAATTAATAATGAATTATTCAAAATATTATACATGTATGTATTTAAATTTAATGTAGCAGGCAACACTCAACACTAAATTTTGGTTTTGTTCTCGTGCATATGTTTTTGTACAATCATTTGTAGCAGCACACCTCAGCTCTTTTCATACTTCTCCATATACTTATTATCGGAGATTAAATTGGTTAAATTAAACTTATTATCTGTTTGCAACATTATTCCCGATATGACACTGAAAAATTCAGTTTATGTTTTTTGCTGTCTTTACTTTTCAGTGATTTTTTGAAAATTTTAATTTCAACTCCACTAAACGGTAAATATAGAAGTATATCTCAATGTGGTTATTTTCTTTTCGAAGAAAAAAACGCCGGAAAAACCTCTTTAGTTTTAACTTTACCAGAAATAGACTTGCTCTGCATTATGGAAATAAGGTTCATTTTAACTATTTTTTAAAAGATAGTCAAATTAATTGATAAGAATGTATGATTTTGTTAAGAAAGTATGATTTATTTTCCAGCTGAGATGAAAAATTTCATACCACAGCAACTGAACTTATTATGAGCCTGGATGTAATGTTTTTAATAATTTTAAGAAAACCACATAATTGAGCAATATCTGCAAATTTATAATCCATGACAAAGAAAAAATATTTTTAAAGTTTTTAATTTTTTCTGCGAATTTATGCTGGGGTTATCTTGAACATAAAATATTGAAATATATAAGATTTTTTTTTTATATCGATGGTTTTTTTATTTTCTCAAATCTTTTTTTAATATAGTTTATTTACAATTTTAAACATTTTTTTTGCATAAAATTAGGCTCAAAATAACTTTTAAGCAAGTATACTTGTTTAGATAGTATTATAGGAATGTTAACTATATGAACATCATTATATTCGTTATGCATCATAATAATTGCGAAATAAATTCATAAATAATATTATAATAAAAATTATTATATAATAAATTTATAAAAAGAAAAAAAAACAATATTCATTCTGGTTGTTCTTATTCTGTTGCTTCGTAGCTTTAATTGGATGCAATTATATCAATAAATTAAATATTTAATTAAATAACAATTAAAAGAAAACAAAATTTACAAAATTACAATTATAATAAAGTAAAAATTAATGAAAAGGAAACGAATAAAAAGAAAATGTTGCATGATACAAAAACATTCTTATTTATGGTAAAAATCATGTTTCAGATTAATTTCATATAAGTATATATGCTTTGTTTTTTTATAGTAGTTTTTATTTATATTTTATTATAAAATTAATGAGAATATTATTTTAATGTATAAACTGTATATAAAGATCGTAAATTCCTATTTGGCAGTGTTTCTTTATTATTATTTTTTTTTTCGTCCGGAATATTCTTCCTCATTTCCTCTTCTAATGTGTTTTTTATATGAAAATGCTGTTATGGTTGTCTGCTAATAAATTTACCAAGGATGACCATATCCCAAACCATGTCCATAACCATAACCTATACCATGACCTAAACCATAACCTAAACCATGACCGTATGCAATGGCTGGTGCAGCAACGGCAGCTTTTACTACTGGAGCAGCAACAACAGCTGGAGCAGCATATTTAACAACTGGAGCTGGTGCAGCATACACAGCTGGGGCAGCATATTTAACAACTGGTGCTGGGTGGGCAATTGAAACCTAAACGTTTCAAAAAGAATTATAAAAAATTATTATTATATTTTAAGATTTTTAAACTTTTTTCTATATAGTATTTAAAAAAATATTACTTGATTGAATGATGCATAACTAGTGGCAGCGGGAGCAACAGCTTTAACAACAGCTGGAGCAGCAACAACAGCTGGTGCAGCATACTTAACAACTGGAGCTGGAGCGGCATATACAGCTGGTGCAGCGTATTTAACAACTGGTGCTGGAGCTGCAACAACTGCTGGTGCTGCATATCCTATACCATGTCCAAAACCTCCATAACCGTAACCATGTCCAAAACCTCCATAGCCACCATGACCATAAAGAGCAGGATAACCAGCACTGCAAGCTGCTACGAAGAGTGAAAATGCAATCTGCAAGAAAATTTTATTTCTCACCATTATTTTTTAGAAATTTTAAATTTTGAAATTGTGGAATTTTAGTTAACAATACAATTTAATAATATATTGTTAAACATTTATAGTCTATGAAAGTATCGAGAAATAATTTCCGGTAATAGATTTTATGAAAAAGTGCATGGAAAAATATAATTTAAATCAACAGGGTAAGCTATTTTTATACAAGCAAACTTAAGTCCTTTTATTTTAAATTTTTAATTAATTTTCATTAATACATAATCAAAATTCAATAATCAGTTTTTTAATGAAAAAATAATTCGGAAAGATATACTACATATGTATATGTAATTGTAAGAAAATTCAAATTATTGCAAAATTATTCAATTTATTACTTGTAGAATTTTTTGAAAACTGTGAGCATATCGCCACGATAAATTAGAGATACTCTAATCAATTTTTTTCCAGTATAGCTACTAATACTCACATAAATTTTAAATTGAATTTGTTCGAAAAATAATTCAAAAAATTTAATTGTTTAGTGCAATCAGAATTTCTGTAATGCATTGGGAAAAATTAAACTAAGTAGAATAAAATTATTTTTAATGATATACTGTTGAAGTTTAAAAATTTTATGTGTTATTTAATTTTTTTTAAACTGAAATCACGCAACAATATCATAAAAATATTATAAATTTTCAATTAAAAAAATAATAACGCAATCTATATAAAGTAAAATTACGTTTTATAACAATTTAATCTTCAAAAAAATTGATTTTATTAGAAAATTTTATAAAACTAAATATTTAACATATTTTTAGTTTATTCTAATTTTAAGAACAAATTGTAATACAATTTAATATTTATAATCCATTTAAAAAGTGTAACTTTTAGTTCAATATTAATATAAGATCATGGCAATTTTTATAATTTTTAAAATATTGAAAATCCATCGAATATTAATTTAATTCTTTATTTTGTAAACTTTGATTGAAAACTAATATAAAAATATCCAATATTTAGGTGTACCAGCAACATGTTTTTTATTTTATATGTTTTTCGAAATCAGTTTATTTCAATTTTAAATATTTAAAATTTTATATTTTTTATTCCAGAAATTAAAACGGTAACACTGAATTTATTTCACTTATAAAACTTTTGACATTATTTTAATATTTCCATAGCAATTTATTGTTATACATTTTCTTGTTACAAAAAAATAGTATGTTATCAACATGTTTATAAGTTACAAATTTATAGCAACATTTAGCAACATTTTATACCAAAATTAAAAACGTTTTTTTTTCTTTTAAATCTTTTTTGTTTTAATTTCAAATAATTTTCAAATTTCAAATAATTTTTTGATTTTTTTAATTTAATTCCTTTAATTCTTACCAATAATTTCATTTTTATATTTTTATTAAATAAAAATTTATAATTCTAAGAAAATATAATAAAAATTCAGATTAAAGGTTGGAAACTATTTGTGCTGAATTCGAAATGCCGTATGCTTTTTATACTCCCCAAATACTCAAGAAAAAAATAAAATAATTTTTTTCTTCTTAAACGCAGCATTAGTAACTTATTATGTAGCTTTTGTTATGCTTTTAATGGTGTTATTATTTTCTATTATTTTTTTTTTTTGGCAAATAATTAAATTGCTGTTTAATACCTTTCGAAATGCTTTTAGAATTCAATGAATAGAAGTTAAATAACACACATAAAGTAAAAAAAAAAAAGACGAAAAACAAAAACAAAATATGGAAAAAAGAGAAATAGAAGATTGTTGCAAGACAGAATATGGTCCAAATCCCCACTTTGAATATATACATGCATACATGTATTTCTGTTGTGCAGTATATGATCTTAAAAATTACTGTCATTCTTCTATGCACATAATACTCTACTAAATACAATGGCGGTATCTATATAGAGAGAATAACGTTTCTAAATTGGGAGTTGGTTTTTTTTTTTTGCTTGATTCATTTTTGTTTCTGTTTTTTGTTTTCATCTTTTTTGTTTTTGTTTTTAGCTTTTGAGAAGTTAAGTGAGCTTATAATTAATATTTTTTAACAGGCTTAAAATGTCATTTTACGAATATCTAAACGATTTAATACGGAATTTTGCGATTACTCCATAATATTGTACTGACCGATTACATTACAGTGAGAATTCACTATTCAATAAGCTCAATATTTTAAGCTTTATTGCATATTATTTACATCATTGAAGTGTACAATATAAGCTTCTATAAATGCATATACAAACATACTATTAATTTCTAATACAATTCAAAAAATTTTATATTGTTTGCTTTTTTTCATAAAATTGAGCATAAAAGCCGGTCTTTTAATATTTTTGCAGATGTTAAGAATTAATAAAGCCGGCGGCTTAATTACTATTTTATTTTTTATTATTCATTTTCATATTTATGTGACCGTATAAAATTCAGTTGACTCGAAGTTTCATATAATTTGCAAAAATTTAAACAATATTCCTGGGAGATTTTTTTCTTTTCGATTTTTAATTTAAAATGTGAATTGATGCGGATTTTAAGATAAAAGTTTTTTTTCCTTATTTTTTCAATAGATGTGATAAATCTTGTAAGGTATAAGGCAAAAATACACAAATCATTTTTTTTTTCTTCGTAAATTTTTGAATTTGTTTATTGAAGCAAATTTTGTTTTAGTTTTAAGTTTTTTTAAAATTTTTTCTTTTTTGTGAACGTCTATTTCACTATATTAGGAATTTTGTCTTTTAAAAATTTTGAAGTAAGAACTGGACCGTGAATAAATTGATTTTATTTTAATTGGAGACTTAAGGTATATTTTATTAATATTAATCATAAATTTATAATATAAAATATAAATATTTTAATAATATTATTGTTTAGTATAAAATTTATGAATGTAACATTTTTGAATAAAATGGCAAAAAAAAAGTATTCGAAAGTTTCTCTAGAATTTATACAAGAATATCAGTATATTTCATATTGTTATGTAACTATAACAATGCCAGATTTTGAGACCAGTAAGTTGATATTCTATGGAATTTACAGTGATTAAAATAATATGAGTATAACAGTTTTATTTATTAATGATATTTGCATTTGCAATATTTTTGTTTTGCACAGTATTAATTGTATTATTAAAATTTTATATTGGAATCTTATTTCTATTACTAATTTTACAATTAGAGTAATAATAATTCTTATTGTTATTTATATCGAATTTTTAATTACGCGGCTATCAACATATATATATAGGTTTATAAGCCCAAATTACGTAATTTAAAATTATTAAGGATGTACTATAAAAATAAAAATATTGATAAAATATTTTTATTGGAATATTATTCACAATATTATAACAGCTTAGCTGAAATATTAATTTTAGATTATAAATTTCCTTTACTTTCTAAATAAAATAATATTTTCTATACCATACGAAAATTTTGATTGGGTGATAAAATGTATATGTATTAAAAATGTGTTCAATTGTTAACAAAAAATTTTGATTTCATTGATTTCACTGGAGGTGCTTTAAAAATAAAAATCTGTGCAAGTTTAGTTTGTCCGTTTCGAATTTTAATTATAATACTTGTGTTGTTTATATTACAAGTTTTTTCTTGAGAGGGAATTGATTTTTCCAAAGGTTTGCGCCAAAGCTTTTAATTTATTATTTATGTTAGCTCCTTGTTTCTCTTATATCATTTTGTTAATTAAAAATTTCGTGTCATTGTGATAAATTTTAAATTCTGAGTTTGTAGTTTTTAATAAAACACAAAAAGGCTTCATATTTAATTTCAAAATTTTCTTAAATAAAATTTTTAATAAAATTAAAAAATTTATTTAAAAATTAATAATAATTTCACTTGAATTTTTCTTGTTCATATCAAATTAATTTTGTAATATTGTTAATAAAAATTCGAAGTAAATACAAATTTTTCTATTTTTAAGATTTTTGAAGCATTTTCTAAAAGCATTCAAAAGGTAATTCACTCATGAAAAGGCAAACATTTTTTTCCTGGTTTCTTTCATTGAAAACTATTAGATATTTTATTTACAATTGCAGTTTCCAAATGTAAATTATAATGTGAATAGAGTGTTATAAATATCTAATGATATGTAATGTAATGACGTACATATACTCGTATACCTAATAACACCTAATGTTATAAATACCTAATAATTTGTGAGTGCCGCTTTATTAAAAACGATGGTGTGTGATCCCATTCTCTAATAAATTGCATTTAATTTACTAGCTCAAAAAAATTTGCTTATTTAACTTTAATATATTAAATATTGGTAGTTTCTAGAACGGAATGAAATTTTCATTCTTATATGTGCAAATTTGTATAATGACATAGATTTCTTTAGTAAACTTTAGATTTTCAGTTTAGAAATTATATTTCTAGTTTTTGTTATTATATTTCTTGTTTTAGTTGAATTAAATTTGATTTACACGCATTTTATAAATGTTATTACAAAGAGAACTTTCAGTTTAAGTTTCGATTATTTATTTATTTTTTTTTTTTTGGTTGGTGTAGTTTTATGATTAAATTTCAACATATGTAGCTGTGTATTTCAGATGTCTTAAATTTAAATAATGAATTTTTGAAAAATTTCAATTTGAATAAATGTCTAATTCGATTGTATGTTAAATATTTACGAACCGGATTTTCAAATTAATGTCTTAAACGGTTAAATATGGAAATTCTATTATATGAAATGCCTGATTTGATTGAAAATTCATGTTGTAAATGATTTGATTGAACTTTATAAGCTGTTGTTTTTTTGGTTTTTTTTTAAAAAAAAGGGGTCAACCAAAATTGTAAATATTATATTATAAGCACTTTACTTTTATGAAAAAATTGTGATAGGTACTTGATTATTTTTTGAATATATAAAATTAATTTACATATAAATTCATTGATAATTTGAGTAGTTTTATGATTGAGAATTTTCTAATTTAGCAATAAACATGAAATTATAGAAAACTGCTACAGATAAAATTTATTTTGAATTAGAAAAATTAAATTTGGTTATAGCAATAAAATTTTTGTTTTATACGTACTTCTTGTGGAGAAAATGAGATAAACTAAAAAAACCAATAAAAGTATTTCTTGATCTGAGTAGATTAAACCGTTATGTTTAACATTTTCTGAGTAAATGTAAAATTTTGCGAAGCAGCGAAACTATATACAGAAATTTTATCCAAAGTCCTTTGTGTTTGCAGTATTAAACTCAATTAGCGATATTAATCCAAAGATTAAAATAATTTATATAATCTAAATTCTGGCAAAGTACAATTTTCTGCAGAAATAATTATTATTAATATTTTATATAGCATAGCAAACTCGAATAATGCATACGCAATTGAATATTATTTCGGCCGTATTTTGTTAATTAAATTTAAGCGCGATTGTATTACTTTCAGAAGCTTTTTACGTTAAATATCTCATTCGAGGTTGGCATAACATACGTTATGATTATAGGCATATAATATACATTTTGAACTGCAGAATGCAATGGTATAAATTTTTCATTCTTATTTTATCTCGAATAAAGCAATTTTAATTTACCGACACAGACTTTATAATTAACCTACATTTCATATTATGTAAAGACTATATTCATTGTTTTCTGGTGGTATCAAATTGTAGCTTACACGTATTTGTCTATAACATATTAATTTTTAATGACTAAAATTTGTAAATTTAAGATTCGAAACAAAACGTGTGTCAAATTTAAAATAAATAATAGTTATTAATTAAAAAAATTTAATGACAAATTACAAATGATAATGCCCTTAAATATGCATTTAGAATAAGTTATACATTTACAAACAAGTTTATTGACAAGAAATTTTTTTTTGGTACTTCTTGGTCTTCTATAATATTATAACACATACTTGATTGATCGATTGAAAACTTGGTCACCACCCCGGCTATGAGCTAATAATTTGAATAAACACTTATTGTTTTTAGATTCACCAAACTTGTTAACTATGTTCAATGATATGTTTTACTTCATAAGAGTCATTAATAATTAAAGTTCAGTTAAAATGTCTTGCAGTTTCCCGAAATTTTATTGTATTGCATAAAATATTGAAGCTAGCTCTAGAAAAAACTCTTATATGAGTTCTGCAAACTCTCTTAATATTAAAAAATTTTTAAATGATTTATGATCAAAAATAATCTACATAAATTAAACATAATTTTTTTTAAACCCACGTTTTTCTTCTTGTATGTAAATCAAAACGAATACTAATGAATGAAGCTAATTTTCAAACATCCTAGTATTTGTGCTTGTTTCGATCCACAAAATTACGTTTGAAGATAAAACATAACTCTTCACAAAATTAACCATTCGCAAATCAATATTTTTTTTGGACAGCTTTTTCATTTGAACAATATGAGTATTTCATTAGAACAATACAAAGCTATTGTGCCAGATCAAAAACTTGTGAATAATCAAGAAGGTTGGAGCAAAGTTAATGGTTAGTCGTTTCCGAC